CTCTCTCTCTCTCTCTCTCTCTCTCTCTCTCTCTCTCTCTCTCTCTCTCTCTATATATATATATATATATATATATATATATATATATATATATCGGTTATATGACTTGCTCTTTTTCTCTTTCTGTATTTCCGTAATCGTCACTCTATCTATCTATTTATCTATCTATCTATCGAGCTGTCTGTCTATCCGTCCGTCCGTCCGTCCGTCTGTCCGTCCGTCCGTCCGTCCGTCTTTCTGCCTGACTGTCTGTCTGTCTGTTTGTCTGTCTGTCTGTCTGTCTGTCTGTCTGTCTGTCTGTCTGTCTGTCTGTCTGTCTGTCTGTCTGTCTGTCTGTCTGTCTGTCTGCCTGCCTGCCTGCCTGTCTGTCTATCTGTCTGTCTGTTCGTCCGTCCGTCCGTCCATCCATATATTCATTCACACATCATTCATCCCTCTCTCACACTCTCTCTCTCTCTCTCTCTCTTTCGCTCTCTTATTTGCTTTCTCGCGCATCTATGTCTTTCTCTCATCCTATAAGCATCCTATATTTACACCTGTAATGCCTTCGATATGTATACAATTTATAGCACTGTTAAATATAATTATACCCCCCAATGTTTTCACGACGCTCCCAACTTTCACGTGTCTTCCACGAGACTTTGCAGACTTGGTCACAGCAAAGGCAAATGCCGCGCCGTCTCCCGTGGCTGAAAACATCATGTGGTCATGCAGCGCTAATGCTGACTATACTGTGATTATGTTTCTCGCGTGTATGTCTGTGTTGGTCTACTGACATTGACCTCGATAAGTGTGCATCGTGCTGTAGCTTCTCTCTTGCTTCTGTCTATGCAAGAGGAAATGTCTACGCCTAATTCGTTAAGATCGTTTTAGAGAGCTATATGCATGATGACAAAGATCTATTGTTTGTAAGATTCTCCTGGGTTGAGCTAAAGCGACTATGAACTGATTATCTCTCACGTAAAGATCTCAACCGCATTATAAGCTACAAGTTATAGATTGTTCTAAGCGCCATAAATTGAGCAATACAACGTTAATTAATACAGTCTAAATTCCGTGAGCTACTTGTTCGCGTAACTTCAGTAAGTCATCTTGCGAGCGTCCGATGATAAACCGGGTGCGGGGGAACGACCGCACCGGAGTTACGACCGACTATGTGTTACTAACGCCGCTGTGTTTCACGCAGAGCACTCATCTCAGCATCAAGAATGCGACGAGGAGCGAAGACGGCGCGTACGGTCTCACCCTAAGGAACGCATCCGGGGAGGTCTCCCACTCCGTCTACATTACTGTCGTCGGTGAGTAGAGTATTAGGTCGCGGGAATAGACGTGAGCAAGCAGATATTCCCCGGTGCAAACAGTGCCAAACACAATTCCATTCTCACGAGATGTTTCAATTCATGGTTTCTTTCCGCTCACGAAGATTCGAGATTTACATCTGCTTAGCGAATCATTTATCATACACCAGACGAAGCTAGATGAACATCAGCCATACGATAAAATATAATAAAACTAATAACAATAATAACTGTTGTTGTTATTGCTGTTATTGTGATTGTTGTTGCTGTCGTTGTTTTGTTGATGTTACACAATTCCAGCCAGTTTGCTATTTTCTCCTACCGCAAAAACCCGACCACTTCAACTCCATACTGTCCCTATACGCACGTCACGCGTTCTCATTCATCTTTCCTCCGCCAGACAAGCCGTCGCCGCCGCGCGCGCCGGTAGACGTCTACGACGTGACGGCCGACGGTGTCACGCTGCGCTGGAAGCCGCCGGAGACGGACAACGGCGTGCCCGTGTCGCACTACATCGTCGAGCGGCGCGACGTGACGAGGTCGGACTGGCACAGCGCCGGAGAGTCGGCAGACTGCACGCTGGCCGTCGGCAAGCTGCAGGCGAAGCACTCCTACTTCTTCCGCGTGTCGGCCGTCAACAAGGTGGGCGTGTCCGAGCCGACGCAGACGCGAGACGCGACGCTGGCGAAGAATCCGTACGGTAAGAGGCCTCCCGCCGTTTCGCCCCCGCGTAGCAGTCGAGGGGATTGCGTGTTGCTGTGACGCTGTCGATACTGTGTGTGCCACACGGAGCTAGATCTTGAGCAAGGTCGCAATAGATTGATAATGCACACTGGTTGAATGGGAATGTTTTTTTAATAATATAAATTATTAAAATTTTTATAAAATTATATTTTAATAAAGAATACACATTTCGGCCCCATTATAGTAAAGAAGGTGAGAACATGAGGAGTTCATGTCGGCCATTAGCTGTATTTTAGATTACCTCTGATTATGCCAGATTTACCAGATTTACTCCTAATACAAATGTCATTGACTTAATCTTAGTTTGACCATGCCCGATCTCCACATTCCTCTCTGCTTGATCAATCTCTACTAAATTATTTATCGGCAACCAGATCCTCCCGGTCCTGCAAACCAGCCAGAGATCGAAGACTGGGACAAGGAGCATGTCGTCATCAGTTGGACTGCACCCAAGAACGACGGCCGCGCCCCCATCAGCAGCTACATCATCGAGAAGAAGGACAAGTTCGGCATCAACTGGACCAAGGCTCTCGAAGTGCCGGCGTCTCAGCTGAAGGCCTCCGTGCAGAATCTGATTGAAAACAAGGAGTACCAGTTCAGAGTGGTGGCAGTGAACAAGGCCGGACCTGGCACACCCAGCGAACCATCCAGGCTCGTCACTGCCAAGGCTAGATATGGTAATTATCATCATGCGAGCGTCGTCGTCACCATGGTAGCGACAGACAATACGAGTAACCAGCTACGTTTCGGCGGGTTGTATCAAGCTATAGATGTCGGCGTGATGTATCCCGTTGTACTCGATAGCACTATTATTATTATTATTATTATTATTATTATTATTATTATGATTATGATTATGATTATGATGATGATTATTATTATTATTATTACTATTATTATTACTATAATTATGATGATGATGATGATGATTATGATTATATTATGTCATATCAGGTAAACGTATTTGAAAACAGCATAAATCACGGATGTCGCACATACGATGATTATTTCCGTTTTGTTTCAGTTCCGCCGAAGATAGACAAGCTGGCGTTCCGTGACCTTCGCATCAAGGTCGGTCAGCCCATCCGGTTCAGCGTCCGGCTGAACGGAGAACCGATTCCGGACGTCGAGTGGACGGTGAACGGTCAGTCCGTGCAGCCGTCCTATACGCAACTGACCGAACGCGAGGCGAAGTTGGAGGTAGCTCGTGCGGTCAGGGAGCACTCCGGAAAGTACACGCTGACAGCGAAGAATGGGTCTGGCACAGACTCGGTGTCCGCCACCGTCACCGTCGTCGGTACGTGTCGCAGCCGCCCATCGCCATAAAAACATCATAAATAGCTGTGACTATCATAAGTCTAAAATGTCGCAAACATTTGCACGACACTTCACCTCAAATGTTATTATATTTTAGACTTATAACTGCACGTGATGAGCTTCACTGATCAGCAGGCCTCGGGTATTGCATCAATCGCTATAACACAGCGCTAAATTCAAATGCACGCGCTAAATCGCGAGCTTTATCAGATCCTATCAGAATTTGCGTCGCCGCAATCTTCAGACAGTATATAACAAATAATCAGAAAGGTAGCTTAAAATTGCAGTTCCATAAAAAGAAGTATATAGACAGAATTGCCTGTTGCTAGTAAGATTCAACTATAACCGAGTAGCTTAATGTGGATTCTGTTATTAATTTCACCCTTTTTAATATGTCGGTGTAGTCGTTGCAACAAATTAAACGTGAGCGCAATTAGCCTGGGTACACCACGCGAATTCCTATCACCTCGTTCGTTTGCAGACAAACCAGAGCCACCAGAAGGCCCACTCGCCGTCTCTGACGTCACCAAGACCACGTGCGTGCTGAAATGGAAGAAGCCACGTGACGACGGTGGGTCTTCCATCACGCACTACGTCGTAGAGAAGCTGAATACGACGCGAGGCACGTGGCTAGAGGCTGGCACAAGCCGCGACCTTACCTTCCAAGTGAAGAACCTTGACGCGCTCAAGGAATTCCACTTCCGCGTGAAGGCCGTCAACTCGGAGGGAGAGTCCGTGCCACTGCAGACGGAGATGCCGACATTGGCGAAGAACCCGTACGGTACGTATGCCTTAACGCGCCGCGAGACGTGTTTTCAAACTTTTAACTGTTGACGTGATAGAACGTTAATGACATATCGTTAATGACATACATATATGATAGGAAGATTGGTTGCGTTTATTATCATAGCTGTTAATGTTTAGTAGCGATCATTTAGTTTAAACATAACTTTAAACTTTAACAATATTCCACCGAACTTCATTTTTATACAATAAAATACACTACGTACTGAGAAATACTATTACTATACCATATAGCAATGTAGGCCCTACTATTACTGTACCATATTCCTATGTACTATTGCGGTAACTTACGATGTTATTACGCTGTTATAGGAAAACCCTATTTTGTCATCATTATTGCTAATGGCTATCAATTTGTTCTTGTTCTCCAGATGAGCCAGACGCACCTGGTGCGCCGGAGGCGGAAGACTGGGATGTTGACCACATCGACCTCGCGTGGACGAAGCCGAACAGCGACGGTGGCGCCCCCATCACAAACTACATCATCGAGCGCAAGGACAGATACAGTAGCAGCTTCAGCACGGTCTCTGAGACACTCGATGACAAGACCTGCTTCACCGTGCGTGGTCTAAGCGAGGGACAGGAGTATACGTTCAGGGTTAAGGCCGTGAACAAGGCAGGACCGAGTCAACCCAGCGACGCATCGAAAACCATTATTGCCAAGGCGCGATATGGTATGCGAACTGTCGCCCTGATGTTACACCGATGATGTCATTTTTTCTGACGTTTATACAAATAATATAATAATAATAATATTAATAATAATAATAATAATGAAACAATGGCCTGCAATCTATCGACTTATTGCCAATGCCGTATTTTCCGTACGTTTACATTTATCATAATAATAGTAATTCATCATCCTCTCTCATTTCCTTGCAGTTGCGCCTAAGATCGACAAGCGCAACTTGAACGACGTCAATATCAGAGTCGGTCAGTCCCTGAAGTTCAAGGTTCCCTTCGTTGGCGAGCCGACGCCCGAGATACTGTGGACGCACGAGGGCACCGCCATGACGCAGTCGAAGCGCGTGTCGATACTGAACATGAGCGATACGAGCGACGTGGACATTCATGGCGCCGAGCGTCAAGACAGCGGCGTTTACACGGTGACACTCACCAACGACACTGGTCGCGACTCCGCCTCTATCAACGTCACCGTGACAGGTGAGACTGCTGGCAGCGGTGGCAACGCACGCGAGTTAGTTGACAGCATGTCTGGTGGGGGAATCCCGTCCTAGTCTGTCTTTTGATATCACGTTTGGTTTCCTGTGTCGGCGTGGTGCCATTGGATTCTCGGATGAATTTCAACAAATCGTGTTACTCTCCCCCCATCTCTCTCTCTCTCTCTCTCTCTCTCTCTCTCTCTCTCTCTCTCTCTCTCTCTCTCTCTCTCTCTCTCGCTCTCTCTTTATAGCTCATTTTATGCTCTGTGACGAATTTGAGCCTCAAGTTAACTTACTTACTTTGAGCCTAAACTTTAATCAGATCCTGACGTCATCATTTGCAGGGGGCATCTTTCGACACGATCACATCACTTGTTTAGTTTATGAAAAATCGTGAATTAAATATTGGGTCGTTCCATGTTTCTATTTCCCGCAGACGTACCTAGCCCACCACGTGGTCCCCTGGAGGTATCCGACGTCACCAAAGAATCCGTCACCCTCCGCTGGAACACACCGGAGGATAACGGTGGCACAGATATTGTGTAAGCTGTATTTCATTCTAAGCTGGAATGTCTGTTTCGTACGTTTACCATTTTGGTTCCAATATAAAGTTTGATTCAAGAGATGAATTGAGCGCTGATTTCAGAGCACTGGTTCAAGAGCACTTATTTCAAGAGATCTTATATATATATATATATAAATATATATATATATATATATATATATATATATACGTATGAAACACTTTAATTACACATAAAACTGTATTGCATCGGACCCAATTCATTTACAGCTCATACACGGTTGAGAAGAAAATCAAAGGAGCGGGCCACTTCTGGGTTGCCGCTAACAAATTTGTGCAAGGAACCTCCTTCACAGTGACTAAGCTCAACGAGGGAACAGAATACGAGTTCCGCGTGATGGCCGAAAATGCCAACGGACTCTCCGCGTCGTTAGATACCGACAAACCGGTGAAAGCAAAGAATCCATACGGTGCGGATCTATCAGCGAGTGTAGTCATAAGTATATCTAATGCTAACGTTAATCTATCTAGTTTATTCAATCCATCTGGTTTAATGCTAATGTTAATCTATGTTTTAAGAAAAACTATTGCTAAAAGTTTCAACATCCGTAACGATAGTAGACGTGCCACGTAGAATGTACCCTTGCAGACATTTATCCTTTAATCTTGGTTTACGCTCTGTTATATATTGCATGATTGCAGATGAGCCACTGGCTCCGGGTACGCCTGAGATCATAGAGCCTGATAAGACTCACATCACGATAGCGTGGGCACCGCCGTCCAATGATGGTGGCAGCCCGATCACCGGCTACAACATAGAGAGGAAGGAGAGAATTAGCAGCCGCTGGACACAGGTCAACAAGTCCCCAGTCAAGGTACGCTTCTAAACACACACGGGTATATCAAATGTGCTCGCTTATTATCTCCATGTATTTTGATTATATTTTATATATTGGTTACCACGCTCATATAATCTTCTTCGTACCCCCATTAACATCGATGACAAGCCACGTTCTTTTGTACAGTCTACAGATTCAGTTAGTACATTGGAATTAGTAATATATTTGAAGTGTGGTGAATAAGTAATATATATTATCGTATTTTTTGTTTGTTTATTCGTTTGTTTATTTATTTATTTATTCATTCATTTATTTATTCATCTAATGTATTTACTTCATGTACGAAATGAAAATTATTCGCAATGTGTAACAATAATTATTCATGTATTTTCGTTGGCAATTGTAGGATCTGCAGTACAGAGATGAAACTGTGAGGGAAGGTCAGGAGTATCAGTACAGAATCGTTGCGATCAATGCTGCCGGACCCAGTCCGCCAGGCAATAACTCTCGGCTGGTCGCTGCAAAGCCTCCATATGGTAAGTGACATGCGTCCACTGAAACATACCTTTAACGTGCGAGGTGAGTGATAGAACACAGCACACGTGCCTAATGTTTCTTGCTGCTACTGTCGTGCTGTAAATGCCACGTATTAGCACAAAACGTGTTGTCCTCTCCGTAGATCCGCCAGGTGAACCAGGCGCACCGGAAATCGCCGACTGGGACGAAAACCACGTCGACCTCGTATGGAAGGTTCCCACAAGCGACGGTGGCGCCCCCATCACCGCCTACATCATCGAGAAGAAGGAAAAGTTTGGCGTGAGCTGGAGCAAGGCTGCGAGCGTACCAGCCGACCAGCTGAGCTCCTCGGTGACGGATGTCACAAGCGGAACAGAGTACGAGTTCAGAATCCTGGCGGTCAACAAGGCAGGACCCGGGAAGCCAAGCTCATCCTCATCTCCGATTCTGGTGAAGCCCAGATACGGTGGGTACTTTCACGCGGGACATTCACACAACTGCATTTTCACTTGTTTTCTATGGCGTCATCTATACGTCTGTATCTCACTACATGTAAGATTGCACTTCGTTTTCCATAGCCCCACTCTAATCCAAAAATTGTCCACTACAGTAATACCCAAGATCTACAAGAATGTGATGACAGACCAGAACCTGAAGGTAGGACAGACGCTAGAGTTTGAGGTTCCCATTAGCGGCGAGCCCGCACCAGAGGTCGCCTGGAGTTTGAATGGCAGGACGATACAGCCGAGTAAGAGAGTCACTATCGCCAACGTCGAGGGCAAGGCTAGGATCATCATTAAACCAGTGGAGGCGAACGATGCCGGAGCGTACACGCTCACCTTAACAAATGGATCGGGTACCGATTCGCACTCCGCCGATGTCATTGTCAGAGGTAATGAATACCTTTGTTGTATTTTCATATGTAAAGCACCGTGCCGTTTTGAGACTGCCCATCTTTAAGTCAATTTCGATCCCGTTTACCTTTTTGATTCAGTTATGTTCACTATAAAAACTCCACACTAAATATCCCACTCGTTAAAAAAGCAGTACCGTGCATTTACCTGCGTTTGCTGTTTGCTGTAATTTCTCCTTGCGACTCTTTGCAAAGTATTTTTCTTCTAAGTTATAGTATATTTGTAGCTTATACATTTTTATGTGATAATAATTAAAATTATGATAGCTAATTAAACATAAGTTAATGCTGAAAACTACACTGGGAATGTTTTCGCCCCACACAGACAAACCGTCGCCGCCTCGCGGACCGCTCGACGTGCGTGACGTCATGGAGGACAGCTGCACGATCTCGTGGAGGGCTCCCGAGAGCGACGGAGGAGAGAAGATCACGCACTACCTCGTCGAGCAGCGCGATCTCGCGCACAGAGAGTGGCAGACGGTGGAGCAGACGAACGAGCTGACGCTGGGCATCCAGAAGCTGCAGGCGAAGCACAGCTACCAGTTCCGCGTGAGGGCAGTCAACAAGGTCGGCCAGTCCGAGGCGCTGGACACGAAGAGCGCGACGCTGGCGAAGAACCCGTACGGTACGCGCCGCCTCCTCTCCTCGTCACGTCACGTCACGTCGCGTCATGACACGTCACGTCATGTCGCGTCACGTCATGTCGCGTCACGTCGCGTCACGTCATATCGCGTCACGTCACGTCGCGTTATGTCACGTATAGTTCACGTTATTTTTGTCGTTCTTGTGTTACGCACGAAAGCTATGTAATTACATGCAGAGATTCGCTCAGCAACAACAATAGTATATTTAATATATAAAGATAATAATAACAATAATAATTTTAATATAAAGAAGAAGATGATGATGAAGAAAAAAGAAAATATATGAGCGACGTCCTGTGACTAACAATTCAACATACCTCTAGATCCACCCGGCAAACCCGACGCGCCCGTGATAGATGACTGGGACAAGGACCACATCGACATTAGCTGGACCGCGCCTAGGAGTGACGGAGGTGCTCCGATCACGAGCTACCTCATCGAGAAAAGAGACAAGTTCGTAATCAAATGGGCGTCGGCTGTCGAGGTTCCTGCCGATCAGAGAAAGGTCACGATTTCTCATCTAATTGAGAACAAGGAATACCAGTTCAGAGTGACGGCGATCAACAAGGCAGGTTCTGGCGCGCCGAGCGAAGCGTCTAAGACGGCCATCGCAAAATCCAGATATGGTACGTCGGGTGCTCTTGCGAGCATAGTTTATTTATTTGCTGCTATCGTATTAGTAATATTTGACATAGTATCGAAGCTTGAATTATTTCATGCGACGACCAGGTATTTGCAGAAGGCCATGCGTCAAGCTATAACGCACGCTATAAACACAGTTTACACTTATCGCAACATCCATGCAACAACATTATTTAACGCAGAATGTTACAAGCATACGCAGACGCTTAATGTTTTGATTTCAGGCTAAGGTCTACTTCAGGTCTTATTGGCAATGCAGTTGAATACGACAGCACCCATTCATATAGCACGGTGTAGACATTGTTTGCACGTTCCTAACATGCACAAAGCAACGCTATACCTATCGCAGTACGTTACAGGCGCAAGAAATCCGACCGACCAAGTCAGAACTCTGATATACGGTACTTTCCTATTTTCAGTTGCGCCCAAGATCGAGAAGGGTGACCTGCGCGATATGAGGGTGAAGGTCGGGCAGACGATAAGTCTCAAGGTGCGCTTCAGTGGTGAGCCGACACCGGAAGTGCACTGGACCGTCAACGGAATGACGCCATCTGACCGGGTTACCATGGAGACGAGGGACACGACGGCTATATTTGAACTGACGCCTGCGCAGCGCGGGGACAGCGGCATGTACACGCTGCACGTGAAGAACAGCTCTGGCCACGAGTCGGTGCAGGCCAACGTTACTGTTGTCGGTAGGTCAGAGATGGAGTGCCTTTATAATACCCTAACTAAATTTCAGCGAAAGGTAGAAATTACAAAATAACGTGAATGTAGTGATGAATAGATAACCTGATCAACTATCCTATCAACATACATACATAGACATACGAGGCGTGCTAGTCCGTTTCCTTCGCCCGTCATAACGAGACATAATGCGACCGTTACAGACAAGCCGGACACGCCGCAGGGACCGCTTAACGTGCACGACGTCACCAAATCTAACGCCGTGCTCACGTGGAGGAAACCGATCGACGACGGTGGCGCCCACATCACGCACTACGCCGTCGAGAAGCAGAACACGACGCGCGGCACGTGGACAGAGGCCGGCACGACGTCCGACCTTACGATCAACGTGCTCAAGCTCGACGCGCTCAAGGAATACCACTTCCGCGTGAAGGCCGTCAACTCGGAGGGAGAGTCTGCGGTGCTGGTGACCGAGAGACCGGTGCTCGCGAAGAACCCGTATGGTATGTCAAATTCAAATTCAAATAGGAAATATTTATTTATCACGATAATTTGCATGGTAATTAAGTAACGTTAAATAAAAATGTAATGGTCATCGAGTTCATATATATATATATATATATCAGGGGTTGATAATGACAAATGTCAATGACAAATGACAAATGACAAATGACATTTGTCTTTACTTCAACCCGCTGGGAGGCGCGAGTACTATAATACCGTATAGTAAATATACTCAACTATATCTATCTGATATGCGGTGCGCTGGTCGGCGCAGGGTGTGTCGATCCGGTGCTGTGTCGTGAATATATGCTGAACAGAGACGTACGTGATAGAAGTATTGCAGAACTGCAGATTATAGAGAATAAAAATCGTGAACCGGCGTGGAGCAGGTCAATATCTACTGGTACCAATCGTCTGCCTATACTTGGAGGCTGTCGGCGTGTTACATAGTTGCCTATACTAGTCTGTACAGAAGTAATTTGTTAAGCTAACGCCACCGCAATGCAGCAATACAACATCGCTTAATTATGAAGGTCGATTTCGAGATGAATGTCAATTAGCCGCCTACATTACCAGACACGTGCATATGATGTTGTTAATATGAATAGTGGGGTCGCATTAAACGTAACAATATGTGAAGGATGTGTGATGCCGGTGACGAGTACGCCTGTCGTGAGTCATAGATAGAGGGGCCAGAGGCACCTGGAACCTCCGCGGCTAGCAAGTGCCGGAGGATTGGAAAAAATAGGAACCACGTTGAGTTAATCATTGGGGACAAGCCGAAGAGCGCATGGTCGGTGCGCCTATCACCAGTATATCGTTACGAGCAAGAAGAAAGACAAAAAAGTAAAGAAAAAAAGAGCACAGTCACGGCTGTTTCTTTTTATCTGATGCGCAATATCATACATGCGATGGCCAACGTTCTGCGATGTCCGTAACACGTGTGGCTTGATAAATAAGACCCGTTGATGCTAACTGCCCTCACTAGCGTTTAGACATAATATAGGTTTACTCCTAACCAAACATCCTGTAAGCTATCCGTGAGATCACTATACAACGCAACGGTGGCCGCGGCATCGCTTGGTTCCCCGCCATCATTTTTTTTGCTGTGCGTGCGCGCGTGCGCTGTCGGCAGGTTCCTGCGCTGGACCGCACCGCGGAGAGACGTTCCGAGACAAGGCTCGCTTCACCGTTCGAAACCTCACCGAGGGTGCAGTATCGAGTTGCAGGGACGTCGTCGCCGCTTGAACAGGCGCGGGCCCAGCGCGCCGAGCGAGAGCTTCGGCTGCCCGTTATTGCGCAAGCCCAGATTACGTGAGGTCCGTTCTGCCGAAGCGACACCTGTCTGCCATCACAAATAACAAGCAGATGTTACCACGTCCCTGATTTTGCTAATTCCTTTCATGATTATTGATGACAGAATATTATTGCGCCATCCCTACGTGAACATTGAAAGATATCGTGCCCTCTGGTACATTTTAAGCTCGCCACGTACGAACCCGACTTTGAATTAGAGATATGGGTTTTAATGATCTGAAGTTTCGCGACCACCAGTAACGAAGCAACTACTCGTCTTCACTGTTGTCTGTGAATTTGAGAAATTACTACTCTTCAGCTGTGGCATGTCCGCGTGATGTGTGTTCCGCGCTGTGCCTCGTCCTTGCAGTTATACCGAGATAATGATCACAGAGGAATGCGTGACGTTACATGCAAGTGGGCCAGACATACCAAGTTCAACGTTTCCTATGAGGGTGAGCCGATGCCAGAAATCACCTGGAGCAAGGACGGAATTGCTATACACACGACCGAGAGGTGAGAGCCAGGCGATAGCAGTACCTGTGCATCGTGCCTAATAATTTCTATAAATCCTAATAAATTCTGCCTAATTTTTGCCATTAGGGTTAGCGGTAAGGTATTGGTTTCCACGTTAAAATAACGCTTTACCTCGTGTCAATTCTTGTAATAAATTTAAGAAAGATACACCATGATGTGATAAGTATTGTAATAAATGAATTTATACACCGACGTGATTATTACGGACATATTATCTTATCACAGACTCACATATATGTCGTCTCTTTGAGTTTGTATATATGATCTATTGTAGGTGAATACGCAGCAAAATGAGAGAAGCGTGTAAAGAAGCCAAATTAAGCTTAGCATATAACTTTTCTGTCGTTTCTAGGCTTGTCGTCACGAATACCAAGCGTTTCGACTCTATTATGACAACTTCAAAGCACAGCGAGGAGACAGTGGAACTTACACGCTCACACTGGTTAACAGCTCGGCCGCGACAGCGCCAACGTGTCTGTTGTAAGTTACACGGTCTGTGCCGATATCTAGACGTCATTAATATCTATATAGTATATATATATATATATATATATATAACGAGATAATACCAATACGTTGTGTAGAGCATGCGGCTCTAAATTAACATGAGCTGGGGCAGCCAACGCCTCCAGAAAACTCTCCACCACGTGTAGCCAACCGCGGCGCCTTAACGTACCCGTGTGGCTCTTGTAATTAACAGTCGATAAGCAGCAGATATAAGGAGTAAAATTATTGCCTTGCTTGCGTTTTCAGATGTCCCATCGCCACCCAAGGGTCCGTTGGTTGTGTCTGACGTCACTAAAGAGACAGTCACTTTGTCGTGGAAGGCACCGGAGGATGACGGTGGAACTGATATTGTGTATGTTTTTATTTCACTATTGAATAAAGCAATTTTGTGGTGATCAAAGAATATAATTTTACTTATAGTCTTAACGTAAATTGAATGCAAGAACAACTTGAATTTAAATAATTCGGATGTGATTAACGGTTTGAGTAAACTAGGAAGCACGGGTTGATGAAATTTTTTGTCTATATTCAGTTGTCTGCAAATCGGCGTAGCCAGTCGTATTTTAATCAATAATATCGAATCAGAAAGGATATCAGTATCATAGAAAGATATGACGACTTACTGGAGAGGGGTATAAGCACGGGGAGAATACTATAAGCGGAAGAGGAAGAAGGAGCTATGAAGGATTGTCGAGGTATATACAAGCACATGTCTTGCAGCTCGTACACGGTGGAGAAGAGACAAGTGAAGAAGGGATCGTGGCTGGCCATCAGCAACTACGCGCAGGGAACCTCGTACACGGTGACGAAGCTGAACGAGCTAGCCGAGTACGACTTCCGGGTCACGGCCGAGAACGCCAACGGCATGTCGGCGCCGCTGGAGACGGAGGAGCCGACGCTGGTGAAGAACCCGTATGGTGAGCCGAGCCGCGATGTCCTAGAGGCCGCTTTAAAAACAAAAAAATTTTAAATACAAATTTCTGGGCCGGAAACAATAAAAGTCTTAACGTTGGTCTTGACGACGCCGTAACTGGACGTAACACAAACACACGTAAATAAGTAGCAGTATAGTAAATAATACTGTAAATAATGGTCCCAGCGAAGTGACCGTGAATGGACAATGTGTGGTTGTTTATAGACGAGCCGCGTGCACCAGGATGCCCTGAGATTGACGATCAGGCAAAGCATCACATTACCATTCACTGGTCGGCGCCCTCAGACGACGGTGGCGCCCCCATTACTGGCTACGACGTGGAGCGGAAGGAGAAGATGTCCACACGCTGGATGAAGGCTAACAAGTTTGTGGTGAAGGTAAATATGCGCGCATATGTAACATATTTATAATTATGTTTGGTGCAATTACGCATTGATTTTGTTAATATAGCAATTTTATAGTTATTTATACGTGGGGATACATTACGCTTTCTTCACTTAAAGGCTACCTCATCACTATATGTATATACCACTATATACCAAGTAAATGCAGGCATATCGAGGCTTAATAAAGAATAATTAAATAATGCGCAAATTGTATCGCTGTGTGTGCATGTGGCTGTACTATATTCTGGGTAGGTTCGATTCAGGACCTGAGCCTTTGTTATGGCTCTAGTGTTTGGATACACCGCATGTATTACGCATATCGCGCGTCAAATATATGCGTTCTCGCGCTGCATGTACCGACTCTGACCTTCTTCTTTCATCACCATTGTAGGAGCTGACCTTCAGGGATGAGTCTGTTAGCGAAGGACACGAGTATGAGTACAGAGTCATCGCAAACAATGCTGCGGGTCCTAGTCCGCCCAGCCATGCATCCCGCTCCGTGTTCGCCAAACTACCGTACGGTAAGCGCTGTTGGCTTCTTTAGCTCATCGCCAATTATCACTGTGTTCGCGATTAAATTAAATTATGTTCCACATACCCACACATGCAAGCACGCACCACACGCACACACATACACACACTCACACACACGCACACACACGCACTTATATAATATATATATACCTATATACATATTAATAATAATATAAATTGACAATATTGTACATATATTATATTACATAATATATATAATATATACTATTTTATTTCAATTAAATTAATAAAATATTATGTTATTGTGTTATTCGCGAATGAACATTTATGTGCATCGTACGTCAACTCATGATCCATATCCATATTCACATCCATATCCACTCCTGATTTGAGATTTTCTTTTACTGGAATTTAAACACAATACAGTTCAAACAAAACTACTTTCTAACGGATGTTAAATTGGATGGTTAACACTCACCTTTATGCGCACAGTCACTATTCAATGTGTCACAAACATGTACATGTGTACTGGACGCAGGGTGATTGCCCGCGGATTCTATGATACATTGATACTGACGTGCTCCCTCCGCCGTAGATCCCCCGAGCAAACCCGGACAACCGAAGATACTCGACTGGGACGAGGGTCACGTTGAGTTGTCGTGGACGGCGCCGGACAGCGACGGTGGATCGCCGATTTCCGGCTACATGGTCGGCAAGAAGGACAAGTTCAGCGCGTCGTGGACGAAGGCGCTGACACTTCCGGCTACGGCACTCAAGGCTTCCGTCGACGGACTGGACACGGGTTCGGAGTACGAGTTCCGTGTGATGGCGGTCAACAAGGCCGGACCCGGTGAACCCAGCCTGCCGTCCGCGCCCGTACTGGTCAAGGCTAGATACGGTGAGGGTTCACTCTTATCAGCAAGCTGTTTCGTTTTTAGTATGGCGTAATTTCGTCGTGGTTGTCGTGACATAAAAATGTGGTGGATGGTAGGGTCTTACCGCATGTGGGGTTGCAGCGGGGTTTTTGGTATATTTTATAGGTATTGGGCAGAAAGATGCTTGTTCATATAGAACCTGGAAGTTGTGCTAATTTGTGAAGATTAGTATCGCATAAAAAGTCAATAGAACGATATTTTTAAAAGTTCGGGTTCTCATGTAGCAAACCCCACCTGAACATTTCAATACGGAACGTTGGGATATATTAATTCTAACAAACAAACACTTGTTACCCATTTTAGTTGCACCGAAGATTGGCAAAATGGCGATGGAGGATAAGCAGCTTAAGGTTGGCCAGATCCTGTCGTTTGAGGTTCCTATCAGTGGAGAACCAGCACCAGACGTGTTGTGGACACTTAACGGTACGACCGGTTGCATGCTTCACAATCGTCTAATGAACATCGTTGTACAAATCACGTATATATTTGTCATGGGATAAGTCTTCGAATAAAAACTCGAACAGAAGCACAGAGTATCCGGCCATACCAACTTGCACACTCTGATCCGTCTATCGCACGAAGTTTAGTCCGAGTTTCTCACTAAAGCTTTTCCGTGCACGTGCCCCTTGCAGACAGCAAGATCCGCTTGACAGACGGCGTCTCTATCAAGACGACCGATGACAAGACGATAGTGACTGTGAAACGGGTAGAGCGCAGTCACGCTGGTACCTACAGACTGCAGGTGAAAAACGACTCCGGTACCGACGAGTGCAGCGTCACTGTCACGGTGAAAGGTAGGCACGATGTGTGTGTAGGGTAGCGATGCGTGTAGCGTAGTGACGCGTGTAGAATAGCAATGTGCGTGTAGATTATATATTTTCATATGATATCATTCTCATATATTAAAAAATCACTAACGCACCCCCCGCACGTTGTCGCCCCACGCAGACAAACCGTCGACGCCACGCGGACCGCTCGAGGTGCGTGACGTCATGGAGGACAGCTGCACGCTGACGTGGAAGGCTCCCGAAGACGACGGCGGCGACAGGATCGCGCACTACGTCGTCGAGTCACGCGACATGACGTCGCTGCACGGCGACTGGCACGTCGTCCAGGAGGCGACGTCGACGTCCACGACCGTCACTCGTCTGCAGGCGAAGCACAGCTATCACTTCCGGGTCAGGGCCATCAACAAGATCGGCACGTCCGATGCTCTGCAGACGACGCAGTCGACACTGGCGAAGAATCCGTACGGTACGAGTGGCGCCATCTTGTGTGTACGAGCAAAAGTCGCCCGTGCATTTTATTTTCATTGTAATATTTACCAAGCCTCCTCTGGGAAAAAGTTTAATAGTTGGTGCCGACTAGGTCATCTTATTTAATAAAAAGGTTCTCTTAAGGACCTTATATATATTTATACGTATATCCAAATTACGTGGAATATTACAATCCTACGCCATCTTATTAATGTTTCCATTTAAATTTCTTTTCTTGTCTCATGAACAGACGAACCAGACAGACCCGGCAAGCCAGAGGTGGAAGACTGGGATACTGACCACGTCGACCTCAGCTGGACGGCACCGATCAAAGATGGTGGCGCCCCCATCACCGGCTACGTCATCGAGAAGAAGGACAAGTTTAGCATTAGCTGGAGCAAGGCTGTGGAGGTCCCGGCCGCTCAATGTCGTGGCACAGTGTCTGGCCTTATCGAAAATAAGGAGTATGAGTTCCGCGTCATTGCGGTCAACAAGGGTGGACCGAGTCTGCCGAGCGAGTCATCCAGACAAGTCGTTGCCAAAGCCAGATATGGTAAGACTTCTCGTGAGACTCTGGCGACGATATATTTACAATCGTCTTTGTACATTATCGGAAGTAATTTATTAAATCTGACCGTTTCGATATTGACGTTGTTATCACAGTGAATTTGAATGACGAATTAATTATTGTTAAAATAATTCATTGCATCAAAAATTTAGTAGTACACTCAGCCATGAGTCACTACATATCGTATGTTAGTGCTTTTATATTTATCTTTACTCGTGCTTCAGAATTGGTCACTCTTCTATTCGTGTTTTACTGTTGTTTCATTTCACAGTCGCGCCCCAGATTAACAAGGGTGACATGCGAGATCTACGTGTCAAGGTCGGACAAGACTTTACCGTGCAGGTGCACATCAGTGGTGAACCAGCGCCGGACGTCGAATGGAGCGTCGAGGGAACTGTACTCAAATCAGACCAGAAGTATAATAACCTTTGTTACCATAGCGTGCTATGGAAAACGATATAAATCGTCACTGATCGCGGGTCTTTATTTTGTCGAAATGCGAGTGCGTTTCATGCAAATCTTGCAGTGTCCAAGATACGATAATGAAACGGGTTCATAAAGGAATTCATTTTCACGAGTGAATGAAACTATTCAATTTTATGAATGGTTCATGGCACGATTTCAAAAATTATTCTGGAAGGTTTCCGTTATATTCACGAGCAAGGCTTGCTGATGCGATTATGATTAAAGCAGCGTGTTTGACTGGGTAGCTCGCTATATCTAACAAAATGAGCTATTCAACCTTCTCATCCCCGCCGCATGTTGTATCGCAGAACGGACATAACAACAACGGAAGAATGGACGAAGTTAACAGTTAGAAGGGCGACGAGAGAGCATAGCGGACGATGCGTACTCAAGGTGAAAAACAGCTCTGGCACAGACAGCGCACAGTGCACTATCAAGGTTGTCGGTGAGTATAAACACGTACTATATGTTTAATAACCATCCGAAAGCTTTGTGAATGTGGTGAAAATGATCGCAAACATGCGATTAACAATCTATTGTGAACATATAGCGTCGATAAAACCCACCCGACGTGAACAAAGGTAGCATACTTGATTCTCGCCCTCCAGCATCCAATTCATCCCAACCACTGCTCGTACATACAGTATAGATATCATCAGGAGTGAATAATAATAGATCTATAATTCTACTAATATAATTCTAATACTCTATCATTCTATTAATCTGTTATTATTCACTCCTGATATCATCATTAACGGTACTATAGTGACCGACGCCTCGTTCTGTTCGTAATTACGACCGCTATCTCAAACGCAGACAAGTCGTCGCCACCCGAAGGACCACTCCGCGTCGCCGACGTCACAAAGAACAGCGTTCACCTGACGTGGAACAAGCCAAAGGATGACGGCGGCGCTGAGGTGGGTAGCTACCGAGTCGAGAAGATGGACGTTCAGCGCGGCAGCTGGATAGACGTCGGCACGACCAGCGCCACCTCCTACAAAGTCGCCAAGCTCGACGCGCTCAAGGAATACCACTTCCGCGTGAAGGCGATCAACTCGGAGGGAGAGTCTGAGCCGCTGCAGACGGAGAAGTCTACATTAGCGAAGAACCCGTATGGTACGTACGACAGAAGGTTTATGTTTATATGCACTCTTGATTTCACTAATTATCTCTATCATCTAAATATCTTATTAATTATCTTAGTCGTCATCAGGCACCACCCGGGGTCTTCACAGCAAGAGTATCAATCACATGAATTCAATAATTAAAAAGTAATCAGGCCAGTCAATAGGTCCAAGAAGTGTAAAAGATGTGACCCATCACCAAAAAGTTCTGAGTTTGAATGCCCATAACTGACTTTTTTGCGTTACGCAATAAACAGTCGTATGTACGCAAATGCGTTTTCAAAATAACTTTTTCAACGTATCATCATCCTTGATCGCGTGCGTGTGTTTTGCAGACGAGCCCGACACACCAGGCACGCCGGAGATCGACGACTGGGATACAGACCACGTCGACCTCAGCTGGACGGCGCCACGCAGCGACGGTGGCGCCCCCATCAGCAGCTACATCATCGAGAAGAAGGAGAAGTTTAGCTTCAACTGGAGCAAGGTGTCCGAGTCGCCCGGCGCAGGGGTCAGGTGGACTGTTCGCGGTCTCCGGCCAAACATGGAGTACCAGTTCCGCGTCGTAGCCGTAAATAAGGCCGGACCCGGCAAACCAAGCGAGGCGACCAGGACTGTCGTAGCTAAACCTCGATATGGTGGGCACTGCTCTTATATTAAATACAGCGCTCATATATAAAATATATATATATAATAAATTAAATAAATATATATATATATATATATATATATATATATATATATATGCGTGCGTGCGTGCGTGCGTGCTGTGTGTGAATATATGTGAACAGGAGTACGTGAATAGAGTATTAGAGAACTGCAGATTATAGAGAATAAAATGTACCGGCGAATATATTATGTCACCAATCGTCTGCTATACTTGAGCGTCGGCGTGTACACTAGTTGCTATACTAGTTGTACAGAGTAATTGTTAGCTACCCACCGGCCATGCAGACAATACAATCTATTATAGGTCGTTTCGAGATGAAATGTCATTAGCGCTACATACCGACAGTGCATATGATGTTGTTAATATGAATAGTGGGTCGCATTAAACGTAACTATGTGAGGATGTTTGTGATGCGTGACGTACGCCTGTGTGATATAGATGAGCCAGAGGCACCTGGAAAGCCAGTGCCAGAGGATTGGGATAGGAACCACGTTGAGCTAACATGGGACAAGCCGAAGAGCGATGGTGGTGCGCCTATCACCAGCTATATCGTCGAGAAGAAGGACAAGTACGTGTTTCTTTTTATCTATGCGCAATATCATACATGCGATGGCAACGTTCTGGATGTCCGTAGACACGTGTGCTTGAAAATAACCGTTGATGCTAACTGCCCTCACTAGGTTTGCATAATATAGGTTTATCCTAACCAAACATCCTGTAAGCTATCCCGTGAGATCACTATACACGCACGGTGGCCGCGGCCATCTTGGTTCCCCGCATCATTTTTTTTGCGTGCGTGCGCGCGTGCGCTGTCGCAGGTTCACTGGCTGGACCACCGCGGGAGAGACGTTCGAGGACAAGGCTCGCTTCACCGTTCGAAACCTCACCGAGGGCGTGCAGTACGAGTTCAGAGTCGTGGCCGTGAACAAGGCGGGCCACAGCGCGCCGAGCGAGACTTCGGTGCCCGTTATTGCCAAGCCCAGATTCCGTGAGTCCGTCTGCCACACACCTGTCTGCATCACAAATAACAAGAGATGTTACCCGTCCCTGATTTCTAATTCCCTTTCATGATTTTGATGACAGAATATTATTGCGCCAATTCCTACGTGAACATTGAAGGATATCGTGCCCTCTGTACATTTTAACTCGCACGTAGCGAACCCGACTTTGATAGAGATATGGGTTTTATGATCTGAGTTTCTACGACCACGGTAACGAGCAACTACGTCTTCACTGTTGTCTGTGAACTTTGGAATTACTACTCTTCAGTGCATGTCCGTGATGTGTGTGCGTGTGCTTCGTCCTTGCAGTTATACCGAAGATCGATCACAGAGGCATGCGTGACGTTACATGCAAGGTGGGCCAGACATACCAGTTCAACGTTTCCTATGAGGGTGAGCCGATGCCAGAAATCACCTGGAGCAAGGACGGAATTGCTATACACACGACCGAGAGGTGAGAGCCAGGCGATAGCAGTACCTGTGCATCGTGCCTAAATAATTTCTAATAAATCCTAATAAATTCTGCCTAATTTTTGCCATTAGGGTTAGCGGTAAGGTATTGGTTTCCACGTTAAAATAACGCTTTACCTCGTGTCAATTCTTGTAATAAATTTAAGAAAGATACACCATGATGTGATAAGTACTTGTAATAAATGAATTTATACAACCGACGTGATTATTACGGACATATTATCTTATCACAGACTCACATATATGTCTCTTTGAGTTTGTATATATGATCTATTGTAAGGTGAATACGCAGCAAAATGAGAGAAGCGGTAAAGAAAGCCAAATTAAGCTTAGCATATAACTTTTCTGTCGTTTCTAGGCTTGTCGTCACGAATACCAGCGTTTCGACTCTATTTGACAACTTCAAAGCACAGCGAGGAGACAGTGGAACTTACACGCTGACACTGGTTAACAGCTCCGGCCGCGACAGCGCCAACGTGTCTGTCGTAGTGACAGGTCTGTGCCGATATTAAGACGTCATATATATATATATATATATATATATATATATATATAACGAGATAATACCAATACGTTGTGTAGAGCATGCGGCTCTAAATTAACATGAGCTGGGGCAGCCAACGCTCAGAACAACTCTTCCACCACGCTGTTAGCCAACGCGGCGCCTATAACGTAACCCGTGGGCCTCTTGTAAATAACAGTCGATAAGCAGCGATATAAGGAAGTAAATTATCTGGCCTTGCTTTGCGTTTTCAGATGTCCACGATTCGCCACCAAGGCGTCGTATGGTTGTGTCGACGTCACTAAAGAGACAGTCACTTCTGTTCGTTGGATAGGCACGCGGAGATCGACGGTATGTAACTTGATATGTGTATCGTTTTATTTTCACTATTGAATAAAGCAATTTTGTGGTTGATCAAAGAGATTATTTTACTATGAGTCTTAACGTAAATGAATGCTAGACAAGACTTGAATTTACAATAATTCGGACTTGTGAAATTTAACGGTAGTTGAGTAAACTAGAAGCACGGGAGTTGTATGAATTTTTGTCTCCTATTCAAGTTAGTCTGGCCAATCGGCGTACGGCCAGTCGTATTTTAATCTAATAATATCGAATCACGAAACGGAATATCAGTACTCATCAGAAAGATTATGACGACTTCACTGGAGAGGTGGTACATAAGCACGGGGGAGAATACTATAAGCGGAAAGGGAAAAGGAGCTTTGAAGATTAGTCGAGGTATATAACAAGCACATGTCTTGCGCTCAGTTACACGGTGGAGAAGGAGACACTGTTGAAGAAGGGATCGTGGCTGATCTG